CAGCATTAAAAATTGCGCCTAGCAGCACAGGTCCCTTCTCGAATGGCCACTTCGACTTGGGATCCTTCCCTTGTCAGAGTCAACCGGCTGCCCACTGCGAACTGTGTTAAGAGCCCTCAAATAGAAACCCGGGGTCTATTTTATGCGCAAAGCGGTTTCCACGAGCGCGGTAAAGCGACGACAACAATGGCACTCTAGGGTCAAGCTCTTCAGCGACAACATTAACGGCTTCTAGATTTGAGTGCTGAACCCTGCGTTCCTCTGCAATCTGAAGTCCGGCCGTTACCGATCGCTGCCAATGATTATTGACTCTTATTACTATCAACTCAAGGTAAGCCGGTTTTTGGAAAGCCCGTTGCTGGAAATTATAGGGGTCCACCCGATTCTATCGTCGTCTACCGCGCAAGTGGTGCGCACACACATCATGACCTTGAGGCTGCAATGCCATTCGAACATTTCCAGTATGAACTACATAATTCAGTTTGCAACTGGAAGAAGAATGAAGAGTGTAGGATCTTCTCCGGGTAGAAAGTAGGGGAATCAGAAAATGAAGTAGGAAGGCGCTAGAAACGTACGGAATCGCTGCAGTACCCATGTTGCACTCGAAGGTCCGCGAAGGGAAACAATTGCCCATGCGCGGCATGACCCAGCTTTGTCGACGGTAGAAACGCACGTTCAGAGAAGGAAAACGACTGGAAGATGGAAGCAGCACTGCTGCAACACTCCTGATCTCCAGCTCTGACAGCACGAATTAATTCACCCTTTGAATGAATGAAGGCAGGAATGTCGCATGAGACAAGTAGAGAACTTGGCATTACATCAAATGCTACTATCAGGTCTTATATCTCACGCACATGATCAAGAATCTATCCATATCAATGTTGTAGAGGGCTAAAAGAAGAGCTAAGCATATTGGAAACAGCTATGAAAATATGTGCTAGGAGGTTGAAAAAGGCTTATCAATAACGATATCGCCTGCACCCGCGGAAAGCTACTCTCGGTAACCGGAACGCCACGTATCTAACGGTGGGATCTTGCTTCCCTTTCATTGCGATTTTCATGAGAGAAGAGAGAAGTCCGTAAAGCAGTGGGATGCGGAAAGTCGTTGAACTACGCAGCGATTCGATATCTTGAAGGAGGGTGTGTGTCAA